CAGCCCAGCCCTGCCCTCCCCCCAACTTCCCACCCCTAATGGGGGCCTCGCAGCCCCGTATTACCCGTATTTAAGCTGCTGCTGGCCTCGGCCAACAGCCACGTCAAGTGCATTGTGACTTCTGCTTCTGCTTGAAGCATCCAACCGCACCAGACTGGGGACTCTTCCCTCCCTCCCTTTGACCCAGGAGAAACATGCAAGGTTGCTTCTGAACTCCCACTCCTCCCACACGGAGCTGTGCGTGAAGCGGCTAGAAGGGTCCTTCCTTTTCCCCCAGCGGGCAGGGCAGCCAGACCTCGGCACAGCAAACGGCTGCTCCCAAACCAGGAGAGAAGGAAGGAGTAGGTGGCGGGTGGCCCCAGGGGCAGAGGTGAGATCAGGGGGAACACGGGGAGCGGGAGAGGGCAGAGCCATTCCCTGGGATACCTGGAACTACAACCTAGGGGAGGAAAACGCCAGAGTGTGAAAGTGCAGGATGGGCACTCCGCACATGGGGACAGATGGACAGCCAGTGAAGGTTGCAATCCCAAGACATCTCTTTTCACCACTAATTTCACTCCACTAAAACCTTTCAGGGAGGGGGGGTAGCGGGTTAAGAGAAAAAGACACCCTTTTGCTTGAGAAAAACTATCCCCGAAGTCTGCTAGTCAGCTAAATCCTGTGCTCTAGTTTTATACACCTAAGGAGGGAGGGGAGGAAAGAGGGAGGGGGTCTGGTGGGCTTCTCCCCTCCCAAGGCTTCACTCCACTGGGAGGAAATCTGGGGGCTCTCATTTGTGTGACAAGGAAACATGGAGAAGGAAAAAAAAAGAAAAAAAAAAAGAAAACAAAAAACAGTTTCTAAACTCCTTAAATTCACTAAAAACTGTGAAAATTCCCGGCAGGATGTTTGAATATCAAACGCAGATTTTGGAAGCTTTAATGCCAAGAGTTAGTTCTGTGTGTTGGTTTTGCTCATGTCTTCCCGTATGTCTCTATCTGTGCGCTGGCCGCTGAACTGCTGCAGAGGAAGAGGAGGAGGAGGAGGGTGTTGCCAGGGGGGTTCGGCTCTTGAGGCTGGCCAGGTTGGGCAAAGCAGAAGTGCCATCGGTCTCCCGGGAGGATTTACTGCCCGACGTGCGCCGGGTGCAGCGCGACAACCGGTCTTGTGGGTCAGATTGGTCCTCGCACTCTGTCCTGGGATCGTATGAGAGCGGGAAGCTGCGTCGCTCCCAGGGCTGCACAGCCTAAAGGGAAGAGACACCAGGCTATGGAAAATCCTCCCGAAAAGCTTCTCTGCTCCCTCTCCACGCGCGACTCTGGCTGCCCACAGTGGTGGTCGGAGCAGGCAGCTCCACGGTGCCGTGTCCGCCACAGACTCAGCCTAGCCAGGTCAGCAGCGCATGGAAAGCTTTAGCACACGTGGTGAGGGCACAGCAGCCTCCAAACTGAACAAACCGCTGGAAAAGCATCCGGCTGCCAACGCTGAACGGCATCACGCTCCACATCCCCTCTAGCCAAGCATTTGGACAGAATTTCCCACATGCAGGTTTCCAAGCTGCTTCCCCGCAGCAAGGAGGGTAAACCAGTTTGGGCGTCAGATTTACCTTTACACCCATCTGCAGCAGTCACTGCAGCGACACAGCAACAGGCAGCACTCGGACCTTCCCACCAGCCTCCAGGAACAGAACCAGAGCAAGTGGCTACAACCAGAGCCAGTACCCACCTGCTCATCAAGGCCGGCCTCGGGCGTGGAGCAACGGGTGTCCTCGCTGGACAGAAGCCGCATGGAGTCACGGGAGAGGGGGGTAAGAGGGGCAGAGAGCAGTTCGGGGCTGATGGGGCTGCGCGGTGAGTGGGTATGGGACAGCTCCAAATGGGAGTGGCAGTTGCCCACATCGGGGGATGCTGGCTGGGGAGTCGAAGGGTTCCCCAGCTGGGGGGTCGTCCGTCCGTCTGTCGATCTGTAAGACCTGAGACAGGAACACATTTGAGAGCTTGGTTTCAGTCCCAGCTGTGCTCCCACCAATACTGTGGCCCAGGCCACTCGCTGCCCCCTGATGCCACCCTGCAATGCATTCCACCACCCCCTTCTCGAGCAGCCGTACGATGAGGAATGCTACGGGGATTTGGTGCACACACAGGCAGGGAATGCCGCAGCCCAGAGGTTGAACTCATCCAGGCTCATCTTCATCCCATCTCCACTGTCTCGATGCAGCTTGGCAACACTGATGCTGTGCGCCTAAGGTTATGTCCCCCACACGTCTCCTGTGCTGCGAGTGCTACATAAATACCACAGAGGAGCCACGCTATGAAATCAAGACACTTCAAAATAATTTTCTCCAAGTGTTTCCACCATCCACATGCCATGTGACACCAGGCAGTTCAAGAACCAAGCGTAGTGAATCAGTAATGCTGAAAATGCAGCAAGTTCAACAGTTGGGCGTAGGAGTGCTGTAAAACCCCTAGACTTCAGAAGATTTAAACCAAGAATTAAGAAAGTTTGAGCACCTACACAGATTCCCAGATAAAACACCCACAGGCTGCAAACAGAGAAACCTAGCTGGAGTCCCCACATCTGTGTGCAACTCTTCAAGATGAACTGCAACAGCAAGTAGCAATCAAGGACTGCCAAAGACCAGATTCCAAAACCTGTCTTGGCCGAAGAGTTCATCAGAACATATAAACCCAGTCCCAGTTAGACTAATAAAACAGCTACACCCGCAGCAAGCTAGACGGAGTCGTTGTGCTGAGTCAAGATGCAATTTAAAAGCTGCTACAGGAAAAAACCAAACCAATCTGTTACACACACGAGGCAGGAAGACCACAAGATGCTCAGCAGATCTGCTGGAGCAGGTCACAAAGAGAATGACATTTAAGGAACACTAAGCAAGTTAACCCAGTGTTTACTGGTTATTACCTGGCCCAGGTACTCCACAGCCAAGGAGCAAAGTACTGGCTGAATCATAGCAAGAAAAAGTTACCAGGCCATGAGGGCCTCCAACCATTCCTAAAGAAAAGACTAAAGCAGCCGCAGAGAACAACTCCTGCATGAGCCCAGGCTGGGAACTGAGGGACTGAGCAAGGATGCTGCTGAGGAGGAGCTCAGGATGTGGTGACCACCAAGCCAAACTTGGCCAAGTCACTCTCAGCACAACACAGCAAACGATGTCCCGGACTGCGCTGAGGAATGTGGCCAGCGGAGCAGGGACACTTACACCCCCATCTCTCCCTTCTGGGGAGACGCACTGGCCCCAGCTCTGGGGGAATCTCCATGGAAGCCACGGGCAGGCAAAGCCATGGCCAACCTGGTCTTCTGCTGGCAGCAGTCCTGCAGGAGGCTGGCCCAGAGACCTCTGGAAGTCCTTTCCCACCAGCATTTCTAAAACTATGAGTTGGAGTTCACCTCAATGACCAAGCCAGGATCTCAACATAGCACCTTTCACCAAGGTCCTTACAAAAGGGTCTTTAGAGAAACTAAGTTATGATGAAGTGCCATCAGATGTGAGACACGGGCTGAAAAAGTTTGCAAAGAAACACCGAAATGTCCCACACTACACCAGCACCGGGAAATGCAGCTGCAGATGAAGTGAGGCGGCAGCAGCAGCGCAAATGGAATTTGACCAATGTACCTTCTTGCATTTGCATAAGTCCTTGCAGAAACAACCTTGCACGATCATGCACACGGCTAAACTGAAACCATGACCAGACTAAGACGACGAGGTGCATGTTTGCATGCCTTTGTAGTTCAGCCCAAGAGCAGAGTGGTTCAAAACCAAACAAAGCATCATCAATCAAAGGGAGAAGAGCAAATCTCTTCTTACGCAGGTTTGTGATGAGATCAACAGCTGGAAACTGTGTGTGGTTTTAGAGACACTGCAGAAAGGGCATCGAGTGTCAAGCGATAGGAGGAAGGTAAGGACATGGATATAAATGGAGCTTTTAACCATTTTCATGGATCAACCGATCTACTAAAGCCTCTGCAAACTGCTCCCAAGAGCATTCCACTCTCTTGGGACAACACCTTGAGAAGGCCACGAGAAACCCCCCGCACCCTCTTTGCCTCCGAGTGCTGCTGGTGCGCTGGGGCAGCCCCTGGCAGCCCCGAGGCAGTGATGAGGAACCGTGCCGGCAGGCATACCTGCTGCCCCGCCGCTGTGGGGGCATGCTCGTGCTCCAAAGCCACCGGGCCCGCTCCATCTCTTCACACTTGCCATGCCGAGCAGCGAAGGCTGAATCAGACAAGTCCTCAATCTGGAAAGGGAATGGTAGAGGTCTTGGTCAGAGCTTTCTTACATTAAACACACATCTACGTGTGGTTTTTCCAGCGTTAGCGACAGCGGGAATTTAAACAAATGTTTATGTCTGGAGGGAGGCAGATGCTATCAGTGAGTGCAAGAGCACCTTGTTAAACTGAGTCTGCAGTGCTTCGGAAGCGATTAAGAACTAAAAAGCAAAGGAAAGCCACTTATCCCAGAATGAAAGCACTCAGACAGAGGTTTAAGGAAATACCATCGTTATCAGTTTAGCTAAAATAGTAACTATAGCAGTGTGACTGGTGGTGATTTCTTGATTAGACTATTCCATAGAGATTGCTGCCCAGAGAGGTCTCCTGACAGCAATCAGACTTCAGATTCAGCTGTACCCAGCCAGTTAATCCAACTTCTGCCTTATCACGCCCTTCCTGAAAAGGAACCGACACCAGGCTGGCTTCTGCAATGCCAGTTGTGCCATTTTGTGGCAAAAAAAAGGGAAGAAACTCCACACCTCCTTGCTGAGGTCCCTGTATCCACTCCCTTCCGGCATCCTCTGTGGACACTGTTCAGCTGCTGCCAACCCCATCCCACACTAACTCGGGAATAAAACTCTTCTTACCTCCTCATTGTCTTCATCAGGGTTTGCTTTCAGAGCGCTGATGTCCACTTCACGCCAGCTGCAACAGACAGCACCAAAGGGCAGTCAACCACGGGCACGGCCAAGCACAGCAGCACACGCCCTGCATGCCCTAACGCTGCCTTTTGGGAAAGAAAAAGTACAAGCCTGCCACCATGAGTAGCATACTTAGGCTCAGTTTTAAGCCAAGTGGCCACACTTGCCTACCAAAATCTCTCCTGTGCTATCAGACCATGGTTTCTCCCCTTCCCTTGTGAGCCTGCTCCATTTTGAGCACATTTTTTCGCAGTGGGTTCGCACCCGCCAAGTGCAATGCTGGGAGGCGTCCTTCCACGTTGGGAGGGTCGGGAATGGAGAGCAAGGCTGGCAGCTTCCTCCTGCTGCAGCCCTTCCCCCTTCTGCCTCCCTGCCCAGCCCGGGGCGCTGGTCTGGCAGCACGGCTGAAGCCTGCCAAGGGCAGAGGAAGCAGAGCAGATGCTGCAGCATTTCCTCCTCTTCCTCTGGCTCAGCAACGGGCTCCCCCCATGGCCCCACTCTGAATGGGGCCTCAGAAGAGTATGTGGGAGCGGGAGGAAGAAAAGGTAAGTTGGGAATCAGACCTAGAGAACTGGGAGGGAAAAGAAGGACTGGAAACCACGCAGCCCGGACGAAGCAGCTGCACCAGTGCTGCAGCACGTTGGCATGCTCCCACTGAGCACTCAGGTGTGAAAACCAGCAACGCATCTCATCCATGGTGTTAATCCGAGAGCATCCCAACAGGAGCTGACAGCTCCCCTCCTGGTACTCAGCTTGAAGAGAGAAAAAAAGGAGAGCTTCTCCTGGCTGGCGTGACCTAAGGCAGTGGCGCCCCTGCACCGCAGCATTAACCCAGCCCAGGCACCCACCACCCAGCCCGGACATGTGTGGAGCTGGGAAACCACCAGGACCTTGGGCTCAACATACTGAGCAGCTTTGCAGCAGGACAGAGGACAACCATGGTGACTTTAGGTTGCACAAAGAGACCTCAGCAGGGCAGCTGATTTCCATGCATGAGGGACACTCAGACAACATATTCCCTAACTCGGCAAGTCTGCATCAATATGATCGGAAATTTTCCAAACTTTCTCCTGCTTTCAAGGAAGAAGAAAGCCCCTTTGCTCACTGGCATTAGCAGCCACGGGGAGCAAAGCCCTAGGCCAGGGCAGTGGCACAGCAAAAGCCTGGGACATGACAACCCCGCGGGAGCCAGGGATTGGGCCTGTACCTGGGTGTGAGGATCTCTTTGTACTGCAGTTTCTCCACACGAGTCGTGGCAGCAACGGACATCGGGATGACGATGTTGTTAATGTCGAATGAACTTTCGCCTCTTCTTCTCCTTGGCTGCTGTAACACGGGGACAAGAACCACGTGAGAAAGTGTTGTAGGTTTTGTCACGTTAAGTCATGGATGGAAAAAGGACACGGCCTGGTACAAAATGGCAACGCATGACCTACGGCGACTCCAGAACCAACAGGAATTTGCATCAGAACCTACTGCTTGACGGAAGTCCTTCTCCCAACCACAAATCCTTAGTTTGGAGGGTACAAACAAGGGCGAGGGCTGCAGTGGTCCTGCAGGCACTGAAGCAAGGGCTGCTGAGCTCCAGCCACCATCTCCACACTGGCAGCAGCTACTGCACAGCCAGGCGGATCAGAAGATTGATCCGGCTGATAAACTGACCCAGCAAGAAGAAAAGGTTCCCATAGAATCCAATTCCCTACGGCCAACATAAAGAAAGTAGTGAGACCATCAGGAAACAGGGAAGAACCATCCTGTTGGAAACAGCCCCCCCTTGCTCATGTCCCTGCAGGGGTGTGGACCCACCCCAGGTGACACTGTGACAGTGGAGGAACGTGAAGCAGCCAGACAGGAGTTCATCTCAGGTTATGACAGCTGTAACAAAAGCCTAACAGCTTCCATCTGTATCACGCTTTTGACTGGAATAGATTTTCTAAGACAGAAATAAGCTCCACACTTATCTATTTAAACTTGGTTGAACACTGGGTGCTCTCCTACCATCTGTCTACCCAAAATCCTCCCCCAAACCTGTGACAGCAGCACTGCCGGTACAGTGACATGAATCCTCCTGGATCAGCTCGGTAAGCAAACGGCCCATCTTCCCAACAGAGCCACCTGCAATTTACCATGTTCTCTGTCTCCTTTGATCCCTGAGGCTTTTAGTATAAAAACACGTGGGAACCTGACTGCCAGGGGCCTGCCACAGCCAAACCCCAGGACTTGTGTGAAGCTGGATGAGGACAGAGTGGGTGGGCAACTATTGCCATGGCAGCAAGGAAATCCCAATGTATCACTGTCAACAGTGATGCTCAACCCACCAGCTGGGGAGCACATACAAACCTGCGTCAGACTGGGGCGCCTGAACCCAGGACCCAGACCCTTGAGCCCAGAGACCTGACCCCAGCACCTGTAACGCTCTTGCAGGACTTGGCCGCTGGAGGGAAGACACTTCATCTTGCTTTTCTGAATGAGCTTGTGAAAGAGCAGCAGAAAAAGCAGCAAGAGAAGACCAAGATGTGTGTGTGAAGCACAAGGAAACGTCTTCTTGACACGCCAGAGCTGCCAAGAAGAGCTGTCCTCTTCTCTGAAACACCTAGCACATTCAAGGCAGACTACCATTGCCTGTTGTGTTCTTCAGACACCCTGTGCCATCACAGGGTGCTTCACTGATGTCACAGCTGATGACACAACAGCAAACTCTGCAGTGAAGGAACACAGCTGGGACATGGCAGCCCCAGAGCAACAAGCTTGGAGCAAGGACAAGGGCACACAAGGTTGAGCTGGAAGTGGTGCCCTCAGCTCTGCCACGGACAGATGCCTCTTAACCACCCTGGTTTCACTACCAGGGTTTGAGGAGACCTGCTCCATTATCCACGGGTCGCATCCAGCTTAGGCTGTGGCACAAACTACCAACAGGAGCGGCCAGACAGAAGCCAGGTTCTTTACTGGGACACTTAAGAGGTCAGCAGGGGCTTCTGTTTGACCAAGGGCTTCTGTTAACGTGGGTCAGGTGCTGGGGCGATGGATGACGTCTGGCGGAGGAGCTGCGTCATCGATTTGTCCCAGAGCACAGTGGGGGGGAGTTATGCTCCTGCTCACCGACAGCTTTTAGACACAGCTTCATAAAGGTCCCAGATCCTGTCTCCCGTTAGCAGTTTGGGAGGCTGAGTGTGTCTTGGAAGACAGTACGAGTTAAACAACTGCTGAAGCTTGGGGGTAGGTGAAGATCGCAGCCACCACTGTTGTGCCACTGCCCCGTGACTTAGCCCCAACCCCAGCGCCACTGAGGCCACGGAGGGAAAGCTGTCTGGGTGGAAGCACCGTGGTACCAGCAGCAGCAGCACACTGCTGGTGCTCAGCTCTTCTATTCCTCTTCCTGGCATCCCCAGACAACTTCAGAAACCAAAACCCAGGGGACCACTGAGAGCAGAACACGTACCAGCAGTTACTGAACTGACAGCGAACCTGTAGTTGCAGATGACCGGCTCTCCGCACAGCCAGTAACAATCCTGTAGCCCCAGCAGACCCAAAGTCAGAGTGAAAAAGAGGGCCAGCAACCCTATCGTCAGCTGAAACAACGGGTCCAGCGTGGTAAGAGAAACAGCACTCTCGAGCCTCAGATGCCTGAACTGCTCAAAAGCTGAGACCCCACGATGGAGCTGAGCTCAGAATCCTCTCCAGAAAGGCACTGGATACTTACGGCTGTGCTGGAGGTGCCCTGTGAACTCGTGCTGGCAGGAGCGGAGCCTTCCGAGGAGGTGGACAGTTGCCGTGCTATAGGGCTGTGAGGTGCGGGGGTCGCAGCTGCTGACAAGTAGCTTGGGCCACCGATGTCCGTGTGATGCTTCAGCACTACACAAGGAGGGTGGGAGAAAATGAAGAATGACATTAGCAAAAAACCCAGAGCGGGGTGGCGGTGAGTAGAAGAGGACCATGTGCACCAGAAACGGCCAGTGCTGAGAAGCACTTTGCATGAAAGAGAAGCACCTTCTGATGGCTGCTGCCAGCTCGAGAGGCCCTGGGGAAGAAGCACACGAGGCATTGCTGTGGTGGCGACGAGGCCCAGAAGCAGTGCGTTCCCCCTTCTACGAGGCGGAAGGGGGAGAGAGGCTGGATATGCAGCAAAGCCCAAGCTCCCCCCGAGAGACCTGGCCGTGGGAGCCTACCTTCACTCCTCTCAGATGAGCAGTCTCGCAATCGCTTTTTGTCATAGGCAGGAGGCTGGACAAGCGAGCGCTCTGGCGCTCTCTCGGCCTTGGACATGGCCGTAAAATCGTCTAAAGGTGGCCTGTGTGCCTTGTCTGGTTGGATTTTTTGATGTGAGCGCTCTGAGGAGGGGAACAGAGAAAGAGCTATGAAACGCCTGTTTTCACCTCTCTTTCTGTTGGCACAGGAGGCTCGGGCAGAGTTTACCAGCTCCACAAATCCAGGCAGGTTGGGCTCAACGCCATCAGGGCGCTGGGGAGATGTGCTCAGAGCAGAATGAGCTGTAGTACTGCCTGTGCCAGCGCGAGCATGGCATCAGGCTGACCAAGAGGTCCCTATGAGCGGGGACTAGCCTGAGCTTCACAACCTGCACGCACTTCACCTTCAGCCCTCGCCTGCGGTACCGCGGTCTCATCCCCGAGAGCTGAATCTGAAGGGCATCCTCCCTCTCCTCGCTCCTCCCAGACTGCACGCTGCCAGGCACCAGACTGGGCAATGTTTCTGCACGTGGCGGAGGCAGGGAGGACACTTACTGGCTGCAGTGAAGAAGGAGTTCACCAGCTTGTGGCGGTCCTTGCGAGCAGGGTCAGACAGGCTGCTGGTAGGCATGGGGGCTCTGTGTTTGAGCGAGAGCTTTTTGGGAGGTTTAATTTTCTCATAGGGTTTGTTCTGCCACTGAGATTTCAACATGCTCTGGAAGTGCAGGCTCGTCGGCACATCTGCAGAGGGACACAAACCATGGCATTCAAATTAACCAAAATATGCCCCAGAAAGCTGCAGGACCATGATCCTCCCTGGGTCCCCCAATAAGAACAGTCCTCAACAAACATACAGGCACTGACTGCCTATAAAGCCTGGCTTGCCTATGCCTGGGAGGACCTGCAGCATTGGGAACCAGCGTTTCTAATCTGAAGCTCTTGAAGAGAAGCAGATTCCTACAGGATCCACAGCCCAAGTATAAGCCGGCAGGAAAACAAAGTCTTTGTCAGAAAAACCACGCATCTTTACAACGGAAGGTGTCATGCTCTGCCAGGTTCAAGTCTGCTGCCTCAGATCTGACTTCCAAAAATCTGAGATATCTCAGCACATCAAATCTTCAGAGGGACAGGCTGGAAGAGAGAAATTCAGCTGAAATCCTCGACTTCCGGTCAAGCCCAAAGCCAGCCAAGTACTGTGCGACGCTGATCTGCCTGACGCGGCCCCCCAGCCACCCAAGGGAAGCTGTGTACACGAGCACGCCTCGGGGGCTCGAGGAGCAGAAGCACTGCTGCTTGCCAGGAGCTGCCCAGGCAGGGATGGGCCACACAGCCACCTGCGAGCAGGACAACTCACGAGTAATCATCTGGGTACCTGATGTGTTTCGAGCCTGAGGTTTCTGTGCATAGCACAGATCACGGCAACCCAGAGTACCCGTCCCTATTTAATCCTGCTGGTTCATGAGGAGCACAAGTACGCTGCACTGCTGGGAGATTCGGCAGATGCTACTTTTGCTCATGTGCCTCAAGCTTTGTCTCTCCCACATCCCATACAGATGTGCGCTCTTGACCTTAGCCGAAAGACAGAATGCTTACGAGGTTATTCAGTGTCTTTCTTGTGCAGACAGGCTAAGGCAGACTATAAAAAAAAAACATTAACTGGAGCAACAAACTACTCCGGCCTCAGAAGTCCCACAAATAAGCTTTCCTTTCATACTCATAGCCTCAAACTTCCGACCTGATCACCAAATACTGCTGCCTATGTCTCCTCCAAGACCCAGCTCTCTTTTACGTACCTGAGGGCCAAAATCCTTGTCAGAAAAGCATTAAAACCTTTAGGGTTAAGAGGAGACCTACTGAGACATGAACTTCTCCTTTCCAGCTACACCCGTAAGATCGTTGCACACCAGCAATTGCCACTGGACGTGCCACCCGTCTGCCCTCCCTGGTCTCCAGACCAACAGACCATTACCAGCAGGACACATGGCCCAGTGAAAGCTCCCGCTGCCTCAACTACGGGTTAAAAGCACTAAGATGAGCATCCGTGGTACAAACATCCCTCCCCCACATCTCTCGAGCTCACGTGACATTTGCACAAGGACTCTGAAGCAACCCTGAGCAGAGATGAACCTTCCCAGGCCCTGCACAAGGAATAAAGCTCCTCACCCTGCACCTGCAGGGGGGACGTGGAGGCCATCGGGAGCTGCCGTGGGACTGAGAAACTGCATCTGGGTAATCTCAGAGGGCAAGCAGCAGAGATGCAAGCCCCGTTGGCAGTCTCAACAGCCGATATCTGAACCCATCCCCAATACTTCCTCACCAGTTCCAGGGACTGGAAAGCCCCAGCAGATCCAGGCAGGCAAACAGGATGGAGAGCGCTGGCAGAGCACGGGCTGGGGTCGGCTGTTGCTAACAGGGGGAACCTGACTCTCGGGAAAAAGCCAGGACAGCCGCATTTCAAGTTCCTTGATCGTTAAAGCTCTGCTTTAGCCCCATCTGTTTGCTATGGAAGGGCTCTTCGGCCACCACTACTGGTTTGTGGGGACACATCCCAAAGAACAGAGAGGGGCCAAAGCCAGTCCTTTAAGGATGCTGCCAGCGAGGCTGCAACACCACTGTGTTGAAGTGGTCTGACTTTGGGAAAATGGCCTCTTCTGAAAACTCATCCCCTCCCAGCAGCCCACACTTCTGTGGAAGGAGGGGGTAGGTCGGAGGGAGGGGAAGAACGGAAGACAAAACATTGTCAGCAGAAAATAAGTTATTTGCTGGTTTGCCCTGCTGTCAGCACTGGTTGCACCGGAGTCCGTGTGACACCGTCACTCCTCTGCTCCTCCTCCTCGGCCGAGCGGTGCAGGCCTCCCGGGGACCGGCAGATGGCAACCGCGCTGAGCCCCAGAGCCCCAGCTCTCATCCTCCCTGCCAAGGTTATTACATCATCTGAAAATTCCCAGTGAGAAATCAGATGAACCAGGAAAAAAAAAACAAAAAAAAACAAAAAAAAACAAAAAAAAACAAAAAAAAACAAAAAAAAACAAAAAAAAACAAAAAAAAACAAAAAAAAACAAAAAAAAACAAAAAAAAACAAAAAAAAACAAAAAAAAACAAAAAAAAACAAAAAAAAACAAAAAAAAACAAAAAAAAACAAAAAAAAACAAAAAAAAACAAAAAAAAACAAAAAAAAAACGAAGGACGGGGACAAAGCGCTTACAAAACACAAGAGCAACAGGTTAAAAGCCACGATGCCTTGCCCTGTCTGCCAGAAGAATAAATGATCTTTTTCCTCCTGCAGCACCTGGCAATTTTGCCCTTGGCAAATCGCACCAGAGATCCCCAGCTGCTGGCAGAGACGGGCTCAAAGCGAAAGTCAGCACATGCTCGCAGCTCTCAGGCCAGGCTCCACCTCACAAGCTCCTCCGCGAAGCCTTAACTGAGCCCCTGTCCATCGGCCCAGACAGCTGGCTTTCAAGGTGAGCCCCCAAAATAACCACGGGGGAGCACCCACAGCAACCTGCTTTAACACTCACCGGCAGGGAGACACCTTGACGCAGACCCGCAGCGTCAGGCAGAGCCATTTCCCTACCTGCACACGTTACCTGGCTTTATGTTTGGATAGAAAAGTATCCCCACCTCCAAAAAGCAACCCTAGCAAAACTACACTAAGTATTAGTGAATAATCAAAGTTAATTGGGGGTGGGGGGGTGGGGGTGGGGGTGTGGGTATTTCTGTATAGGTGTTTTAAGCTTTACACCATATAGTTTTAAAAACGAAGTTTTTAATATCATGCAGCCAGGATGGATCTTTTACCATGCGAGCTGGCTGCAGCTGACACTAAGAAAATGGGAAGCGAATGCTGGACAAGATGATTTGCCTGGTGGCCATGCTGCAACAGAACACGACAGCTTTTCTCACCGCTTCCTAAGATATTAGATTTAATGCTATGGACAGAGAATTACAAGTGCTGTGAAATCAGGAAATACGTTTCTGCTTCAGGAGTTCAGTGCTTTCGGTTCCATGAACATTCCTTAACGGGGAGGTGGGGGGTGGGGATTTAGTTTTTAAAAATAGCACCAATTTACTATTTTAGTCTGTTTTAAATATAGTGCTAGCGAAAGATGCCAGATTAATTGCACCCAGACACTCCATGCATTTCCTGCTGTTGCACAAAGTCTGTGCAAAGCTGGAATTTAAACCCAAACACACGCATCAGCCCAGTGTCTTAACCTGACCAACCACTTGACATCCTTACGAGAAGCAGGGACACACACCTTCCTCCCAGCATTGCCAGCGGACACTACGCCTCAAGCAGCCAGGCACTCCTACCGAGGAAAGGAACCACTGGGATCTATTTACTGCCTGGCTCTCCTGATAGAAGTACTAGTTCCTATCGTTTGTGGTCCTGTATTTTGTGATCAGAGGAAAAAGACGACAGATGGACAGCAATCTCACGCAAGCCAGTAGTTTTTGGTCAAAGAACAGGCTTGTATTTAATTTGGCAGCTTAGGAAGCAAAAGACTCTGAAAACTACTCCTTTTCCCTTGGGAAAAGTCCCTACACATGAAATCTGTGAATACCCCACAGTCAGGGTTGGTTAGTTATTACTCTTAATGATGATTAACCCTGATACCATAACACAGGGAAATGAGTGTCTTAACGGGAACATCCCTTCTTACTGTACCCTCTGAACCATGGAAGATCATTTGCAATTCCTTACAAGGTCAAAAAAATTTCCTGTGACTTAAACCAATCCACAAATCATTTGAGAGAGATGAACAAACTCTGCAGAAGCAAGTATTTCTCAAGTGGTTTATAACAACAAAGACACCAGCCTAAGACCCAAGTCCCCGTACAGACTCCCAGGCACCTGAGTGGGGCTCCAGGTCAGGTTCCTGTAACAAACATGTTCATAGCAGAGCAGACTTCAGGTGTAACGCCTTCCCAAACCCTTCCACTCCAGCAAAATGCTCTGCTCCCAAAAATACTTGCAGATGAACAAGCTTGGCTGTACTCCAGCAGATCTGCACTTCCTCTGGAAGCCCAGGATGGAGGACAGGCTCTGGAGCACACCCAGGCATCCCTGTAACCCACCTCAGGACCCAGTTTGACAGCAGCTCCCTGGCAGCTCCGTGGCTGCTGTGCTTACCATCTGGGAATGACAGGACAGGATGAATACATGAGTCCAGCTGGGAGAGGCGCTCCAGCAAAGGGGCATCGTACTGGATTTCCAGAGCCATCGAGCTTCGAGTGCCACACAGAGCACACGAAGGGTTCACATCACAGCTACATCGCACCAGGCTATTACGATGGACCTGGGAAGGGGAGAGAGAATAGTGTCAACATATCAGAGGTCAACGTGTCCAAGGGCTCTCGCCACACACTGCCCTTCGACAGCTCGCGGAAAGCATCCTAAAAGCTGATTTTTGGTTTTTTAATAACTTGCACAAACCCCATTCCTTTAGTCTCTGCTCGTAAAAGGACACTTTCACTTTGCATAAACACAACTGAAAACTACGACCCATCAGCACAGACAGCTTAACATCTAGTAAATTTGACTGAAAGTCTTTAATTTTATCTAGGTTGAAACCTCGTTTGTAAGAACCACGAGGCAGCACAATTCAGTTGTCAGAGAGGGAAAAAAGCCTTTTTGAGATCAGCTGGGTCAGAGAGCCATCACTGTATGCCAGGAGCTGACACTTACAGGGACATCTTTAGAGTGAAAAAGGGCGTTTTTCAACCCTGTTTCCTACTGACATAACTGGAGTACTGCCACAGACGGCTATAAACAATTCAGGCGGGACAGGCAAGGAAGGAGAGGCGGTGGGGTAGCCCTGTATGTTAGAGCATGTTTGATTGCCTCGAGGTCAATGATGGTGATGATAGGGTTGAGTGTTTATGCGTTTATAACATAAAAAATAAAATAAAAAGAAACCAAACCCAGGAGCAGAGCCACAGCATTCAGCGATTTCCAAACTTAAGCAGCGGAAGTGAACGTGGTCACCTGAGCAGGCTTTCTGCAAGACATCCCTCACATGCCTGCTCAGGCAGCTCTAGTTTCTCTTTGAGCCAGCAGCAGTGAGTTCCTGGGGCTGCGTTAATTCCTGTGCTCAGAGTTAAAGTCTCCCAACGCTTGACTTTTCAGAGCCGCTTTCGACTGCCCAGACCGTACCATATTGGACTACCTGGCCCGAGGTTCCCCTCAGGCTGGTTGGTTTTAGAAAAGAAAACCCACAGAGTTCAACATCTCCACTACCAAGTGACAGCTCATAAAAGTCTTCAACAAATTGAAAGCTTCTCCTTCATTTCTCCTTTACTTCTCCAACAGCCTTTAAAGCCTCGCTGTCCTCCTCTTCCTCCCCATTTTCTTCCCCCTCTTAATAACTGCCAACATTCCCAGAGCGGGGAGACAAATGAACAGCACTGACCTTTTTGGAAAGGGGCATAATGCTGCTAGGTCGAACAAGCCGCCGCTTCTTACAGCTCAGTACTGGGCGAGTGCGAGCTGCTACACACGTTCCATCTGAAGATGAAGAAACCATGTTCAGTCGTTGCTTTTTATGCAAGAGCTCCTCAGCTTCCTGGCCATCTCCCTGAGCGTGTTCTGCCAGGCCAGGCTGAAGACTGCCCAAGAAAAGAAGAGAACACAAAAGATGCTGTTATTCATTCAGCCATCCCACATTACCCAGTGGTACCAGCCAGGTTCACGATTCAGACCTCAGCAAACACCCTAAGCTGAGTTTAAAGCATTGCAGTTTCAAGAGGCAATAGCTTCTATTAAGCCAACTCTAAATTTTGCTTTTATTGTGGTCACTTTCCAGACTCTCCCACCACTGAACCTTTGACAAAATAGCTTTGGAAGTTCTGAACAAAAAATAGCATGTAAAGCTGGACACGGAGCAAGATCAAAAGCCACTCGAGACGTGAACAGCTTTAATCCCAGAATTCGGCTTCCCCCCAGAATTACAGTTCAGGGCATCTTACTACAACAGGTTCTCGTGAGTCTAAATGCCAGTGAGCACCAGACAGAGAACATGTAATTTTCCAGAAAACATATTTAACCTCAATGTAAACTTGATTCTGATTAGTATTTGAGAACTGTGCCTCTAACAACTCTCAGCAGCGACACCAGAAAGGTGCGATCTTAACATTAACCTTTCTGGTTACACAAAGTACAAAGGAAGTACACTGGAAGTACAAAGGACTTTCCTGCCTACACGCACTAACCCTGCCCTACCGTGGCATCAATACACCGACGCCACCTACCAAAGACCAGTGCAACTCCTCATCCACGGAACCTTGTCATGTATATTTTACAAGTGTTTCATTTCTAAAATTGCAGAACATTAAAGCCCAGTGGTCTGAGGCTCTGTATTTCAAAGGCTACAGGCGTATAAAAGGCTCTGTTATAGCCTGCAGTGTTTCAGCTGGAGCAATGAGTGAGCTGATGGGTGCTTCCTACCCCTGCAGCATCCCTGCCCAAGGTGCTAAGCAATGGTGCTGGCAATGCTTCTCTAGCACTACCAGAGCTTGGAAGCACCGTGTGTTGAAGGGTTTTCAAGTGGTTCAACCCTGAAATCATCCTGCAGCATAGAAGAATTTCTTTCACTTGTTTTCTTTTACCCACTTAAAGACTTACTCAACAAAAACAGCCTGGAGAAACAAAGAATTTAGAAAGCCTTGCTCCCAAAATCAATGGGATTTGGGTTCCTCTGGATCTCCAGTAAAGGCGGCCAGTGGTTAGGATACTTCTGCAAAATACCTGCAAGTGGGCCACTAGTACCTTTGAATGATGCAATCTGCAAGTGTATGAAAAATACCCATAAAGAAACTGTTTTGAAGATGCTCACTGCATGGCTGCCTGCAGGGCCTTTCACGTAAACACAGCTCAGTCTAATACCATTTTCAGAAAAGCAATGCAGCAGAAAAGCTCAAGTAAGCAATCTCCTCCAAAATGTTTCCAAGCATGATCTACTACCCTACTTTTTTCAAAAAAGAGACCATTTACACCGTTACCAACCCAGTTACTACCCACCAGCATGTTACAGGCTGGTTCCCAATAGGACTTGGTCAAGATCCTAAAAATCAAACTCTTCCCATAATATGCAAGCAACTTACGTGTTAATAACTCCATTGACGGGTCTTGGTGCTCCACAGGGCTTGGCAGGATGGGATTCAGGAGTATTTGTAGCAGAAATACCCAAGTTCTCTAGTGGCTGGGACCCAGAAACACTCTAAGGAAGGATGAGAAAGATCATAAATTAATAAAAAAAAGCTTCATAAATAGCCACAACTTTCTTATTTCCAGTTTCTACTTGAGGATTCTGCACTGTAGCCATAGGTTTCCACACAGGACTTCAAAATAAGGGCTCAGAAGTCACTATGGGAACGGGAGACCGGAGACTTAAAGAACTCCTTAGGGAGCAGCTCTGGCAAGAGGATGGATACACCACAGCGCTTTCAATGCAAGAACCAAAGGGCTTCAGTGCCCCTCAGGCAACCACTAACGAGCATGAAAGGCTGAGGTCTTTAAGGAGAGTTTAGCATTTTGTCTCAATAGTGCAAACCAGTTCATAACCACCTGTAAACCTCGCAGGCGCCTTCTGAAGGTTGATGTTGTGCTCCAAGCCACATGGCTGCAAGCTCTTGTCTAAGCACTTTGGGGGGAAAACAGGAGGAGAGCAGAACAGACTTGTGAAACTGAATTTGCATTTTAACTAAATACCTGTGCAAACATGGTCCAAATAGCCCTTTAAAAAGTATTCGAAATGAGTACGCACACAAGCTGTGGCTTTTTGGCAGAGGAAAGCAAGTGAAAACTAAGCTAAAGTCACAAAGCTCCCCAGTGCCTTCTGCCCTAGCTCTGACTTCCAAACCCCCTCGCTCTGCAGTGGGCAGCTGCTAACGCTTGGCTGCAGCACTGAACGTTGCACATCTCCCATTGCCCTACCAGCGGCCTCAGCGGGGCCCCGGGATGTCACTGCAGCTCCTAAGGACACACTGGCTTTGCACCTCCTGCCAGTGAAGTTCCCACTCTCCACCCCAGCAGGGGCTGGCATGGCCCAGCGTGTTCATAGCCCTGGCACTCATCGCCCCCATCTCATCCTTGCAGCCCCTTCGGTTTGTTTTCAGACACGCTCCTCCTCCTCCCTGGGGTTCAAATTTTCCTCCTCCGGGCAGCACTTCCTACACTCACGGCCAATGTCTCTCTAGCTGGGTTTCCCCATGCACGCACGCAAGGGCAGGGGTGCAGTTCAAGTACTAGTGAAAACGGACAAAAGAGAAGGTCTGACTTCTCTACATAGTGGCCGGGTGGCCAGCCAGCCCCCCTGCTGGTCACACACTCCGTGCCAAAAGCATCGGTACCACACTGATTAAAACCTTCCCTGCAATCACTCCCCCAACTCAACGAACAGCTGAAGTCAGGCTACAGCAGTGCTGGACTAAGGGTTTCCAGAAGAGCAGGGACCTGACTCACCAAAGGGAAGAGCAGTTTCCACCAGCACAGACAACTTCTGCCTGTTGCCTGTTTGAGGAACTTTGCTGCGTTTTCTACACTTCTGCTAAAAAAGTTGCTTCTCCTGGGGCAGGGAGCAGACACGCAGAGGCAGGATCAGAGAGAGCGAGCCTCGTCTCCGAGACGCGGCCAGAGAGCGCACGGAGGTAGGGGCGAGATCAGACCGCGCCAGAAGCATTACGCAAGCAGAACGCAGCGCCCTGGCGGGTGAAGCTGGCGCAGGAGCTGAACATTCTCCCTCTGGTTTCCAGAGGCTCGGCAATGCTGAGCCTTCACATGACATCTCCGCTGGAGGCACCCACGGTTCAGGAGGGCGGGTACACATGACTCATAAGCTCTTTTGAAATAAGGTTTTTATTTTCTTCTCCAGAAAAGGTCTTAAAGGAGGAACCTCTTCCCCAAGAAGCGTCTCCATCTCAGTGGTTCAAGACAGGAGTAGAGGGTGACCCCTCTGCTTCCTGAGAAGGAGCTGGAAAGCATCCATCCAAAGTCAGTTTATCAAAACCAGCCCAGGCTCACCTTATCACACTGAAGATGGGTGTACCCTAAAAAGGCTCTGACATGAGCAACAGCGGAACGAGCAGGACTGCAGGAGCGTTCAGAGCAGAGGCAGAGCTCCTGCACCAGCTCTGCCTGGGTGCATGTCCCAATGCTGTGCCTTCCGCTGGGGCTGGCTGGGCGGCCAGGCTGGGATCCAGAGAAGCGTTCATCGCACCAGGATCACATCAATGCTCCAGACTGAGCTCTTCCCTGTGTTTTGGGTATGCCTGGGGCCTGAAGTCCACCCAGGTCTTTAGGTTCCCTAGGATTCTTAGGGGTGCATCAAAGATTCAGCTTTAGCACCCCTGCTTGTTGTGCAAGAAACCAGGAGCCTGTGGGCTGCCAGGGGCTCTCACGGCAGTCTTGACCCAACGCCAGGAACGTCCCCCGTGCTCCAAAAAAACCCCAAACAAACCCAGACAGGTTCAGACCTTCACCTCTTACTAGATACAAACCCCTAACACAGGGAAAAGCCTTATCAAGACACTCCATCAATATCTTTTGTCATTTACTATTAAAAATTTTAAGTGCACCTCCCTCGCTAGATTGGCAATAGAAGCAGTGAACCAGTATCAACAGCCAAGTTATTTCTTCAGGGCTTCATGTTATTCCTGTCTTCAGGCAAATTCACATACTGAGCTTCCAGTTCCCAAGAGACATTCCCAGGCCTTCCTTGCAAAGCCCTTCCCTCCACTGACAACATGGTTAGTTCCTCCCAGGGATTACCAGCCACATCCCACGTATCAAGCCAATGCCTGAGGACACGTATCCTACATTTACACCAGTGAAGGGAGGTACCCATGACTGGACGAGATACAGAATGGAGCTGGGGATGAGACAGGATGGGTTCCTCCCCTTGCTCCACATTGCAGACCCGTCTCTTACTCTGCCGGGGTGGGGGGGGTTAGAAAGCAGCCTAACTCTAAGCAGCCCAAAGAGTGCCAAAATGATAAGCACCTCTGCAGGAGAGGCCCAAGAGATACCCTTCCAGTAAGTGTCTTAACGCAGCAAGAATGGTCTCTGGGCTAATCTCTGGCTCGGAGCAGATGAAGGCTCTGACTCAACACCCCACCCTTATGAGCAAGTCTAATTAAGCACAAACCCTCCAGCAGCAGGGCACCTGGAGGCAGCACTTCTGGTGGCTGACACCCCCAGCACTGCTGCGGAGAAGCTGGCAGCGTGATGTGCGCATCCGCCAGCAGCCACGCCTGGAAGGGGAGTAAAAGGTGCTTTTCAGGAGGAGTTACCCTGCAGGACAGCAAGCACGGCTGCAGGAGCAGGCACAAGAAGGTGCCAAGCAGGAAACTGCAGCCTGCTTTACACCAAAAATGTTGTTCTTCACTTCTCTCGGTGTATACGATTTGTGCCGCTGTTACCTCCAAGCCCTGCGAGAGAGATCAGGCCTCCATCGCCTGAGCACTGCAGCCTGAAGAGCTCACGCCCGAGTGAAAGGGATGAGGAAAGGGACAACGCGGGAAACGAGTAAACACAGCGACAGTCAGACGGCTGCAAGCAGCAGCGCTGGGCAGCACCGGCCAAGCAAGCGTTTTGTTTTCCATACATCAGAAACGCCACAGACATTTTCTATTCTGTACATACAGAGACGATGTCCAAGACAATCTGAAAAAGGACAATGTGATGATTTCGTAAGTATATGGAAAATGTCTCTAACGTGGAGGGACAAAATCAGGTGGGACACAGTCCTTCAGATTCCCAGGCTGCAAATACGCTCGTGCCAGATAAAACGCCCTGATTTGAACAGATAGGGAAGAAAATATTCTTCGTATCACTGTTAAATTTGATCATTTATCTCCATTATCAGCCTGCCATTTACAGATTAGCTCCCAAATAACAGCCAATTCATCACTGCAGGAGCATGCTATTTCTGAAGCGAGTCAGAGCATGTCGTCACTGCGCTTTTTATTATTCTCCAAGCACTTTTTGCGTTAAAGCATGAAAGGGGGGGACATGCGTGACAGACTGACATTACTGTTCAAAACCAGACACTGCGTAATGCTTGTGATTCAATCACGACCTGTGGCAGCCCCTGTCATCCTGGCTCTCCAGCCTCCCGTTGCTCCTCCAGCGTGGCTGTTTTCATCTGAAGTACCATCTACTATTTCAGTCATGAGCTAAGCCTGTTCGTTGTACCAAATTACACAGCAGAGTTTTGGGCTCAGCTAATCTGCTAATTAAAGACTTAAATTCCAAACACACATCTGAAAGCCAGTGTCAAGCAAGGAGACACTTTATTACAGCCACTCGTAATAACCCCTTTGTGGTCTGGCATTAATAAAAAATTTCACAGTATTTCAGATTATCGTTCAGTATCAGGAAAACTCTGGCAAAGTCTTCCCAGCAGTAGGAGAAAACACTCAAAGTACAATTTTATGGTTACCTCCAGTCAAGGTTTGTATCTGTACCAACTACATCGAACACCGGTCTCTGAGCTGCCAGCACTCCCATGGCAGCGAAGCTCCGTTGCTCCCCAAACGTGGCATCAGGACTCGGTAACGGGAGTTTGAGCCGCGTAGGGACCACCCTTCTCTCAGCACCACACTACAACTTCAGAATCCTCCATTTGAATACATTGGTGTGTCCCCCAGGATCAAAAGTAATCACAGCCAGGCTGAACAGTACAACCAAGCCTTTGGTCTGCGGCCTACATTTCTGCATTAAATAATAAATACCTGGCAGTCTGCAGAGTTTCCAGGGCACCTCACTGAAATCATTAGTTCCCTTTCCAAGGGGTAACACTCAGGCAGATATTAATAGCCACATCTTTAGAAGCCTTTGCTAATTGTGCTGCTCTCAGTTTGAGGTACTCTTTTGCTAGAGGGAAAGGATTAGTTAGGATTTTTAAGCTTCACAAAATGCTAATGCATATTACAAAGGTACCCTGAGGAACTCTGTTCTAAAAGGCATTTAAATCCTATCGCTTATTAACCCCAAAATAATCTGGGAAGGGACAAGCTATACAGAGCAAGAGATGTGCAATTTCTACGTGCAGTCCCACAGACAGGTGCTTCTGCAGGAGGCTACTCCATGCCAGACACACAGTTCAAGGTCTCTCTCCATCGCAGCTTAAAGGATCAACCCTCCCTACCCGAAATCCATGAAGTATCTGGACCCAGTCACTTCTGCTGCTGGCACTTACCAGCCGGTCAGCCCCAGGCTCCAGCTTAACTTCAGCACTAACGGGACGGGAGGCATCATCTACTGCAGGATCAGGGGGTGACGCTTCACCAAGAACTATCAGCCCCTGGAAGAGAGGGAAGGGAACAGGGATTAACTGTGGGTCCTTCGGCCTCAGCAGGGAAACTGCACATCCATCACCCTCCAGGGCCTACAAGCGCTGCACAGCAAGGCTTGCGTTCCCACCACAATTTTCAGACTTGATGCCAAACTGACTCCCTGGCCGCCTGGATTTTCCTGACCTCTAAGCTGAACCCGGCGGGCGAAGGACAGCGGCTGAAGCCAGGTCACATGCCTTCAGCCCACGGACAGCAGGCAGTCAGCTCCCTCGGCTGCTGCCCTGCCTCCCACCCCTGCCCTCCCGCGCGGGGAGGTTCAGCAAGCTGCGCGCCAGCAGAACCAGAGGGAACATTTTGCTGTAGGGCAGAGCAGGAAACGACGGCTGTGGTAGTACGGAGAGGAACTCACCACCACAGCCAAGCAAACAATTCTGAGCAGGTGCCAAAAATCTGTAGCCAAACGTGTCATGCTGAGCAGATTTTTTCAAAGAAGCGATATTCACAAAATTCAGTAAGGAAGGAAAAACACTGATAAACAAGCCATTGCTATAACCCGGCGGGACAGATCACTGTTTTATCAGGCTTGACATACGTTGTCCTGTTCATGTTTTACTTGAACTGAAGCCTACTCTAAAGGCAGGACTGCCTTCTCTCTAAACACCACAAAGTAAAGTAATACATCTAATATAAAGCATATAATATAATTATGCATATTCTAAGCTATATTATAACAAAGCAGGCTAAAATGTGCAAGGGATTAGAGAGCTGGTGGAACCTACAAGGCCATGAATGTAGTTGAGGCCAAAGACAAGCCAGAACAGGTTTGCTTTTGGTCAAACAAGGAACTATGGAAAGGGCTGCTCAGATTAAGAACGGGCAGATCAGTCATCTGAAAACAATTCTGGAGGTTGTGAGCTGTGTCACAAGAAAGTGAGCCTGGAAGGGAACCTGGACACGTTACCTGGAGAGAGGAGAGAACGACAAGGCTTCCCTCAAAGTCCACAAAGTCAAATCTTACGTGACTGATGCCATGGCACATGGCCATGAAGTTGCTCACAAGGCTGATCTCATGCCCTGACACAATCCCATACACAACAGGTCAGTGGCTTTCCAGAAAGACAGTGGTAGCCCACAGTGCATGGATACTTTATACAAAACAGTTCATAAACGAAGTACAACTGCACGCGGCCGCTGACCAGCAATAAGGGAGCAGCCAGCTTCTGCAGTAAACACGATGACAATTTTCTGGAGTTTTCTGACACCCCAGAAGGATCTTTAGTAGATGAGAGAGGCTGGAAGTCTAAACTAAATTAAATACTGCTGTGCTTTTCCTCTACTCTTGAAAGACCCCTCTCCAAAAGCAACTCACCCCATTTTGCCATTGCTTCTAGAAATGCCCTCAGGCATGCAAGGCCAAGTCATCTCCAGGTGTCAGGTGTGGGAGACAGTGGGCATGACAAAGGGAGAAACCGGGACTGAATGCAAAATTGGAACCAAGGAAACCTTTGATGCTCTGGAAAGCACTTGGGCTTCTCATTTGCTCAGCAAGAGAATGAGATGGGGAAACACGGGCATCAGAACAGAAACAGCCACCAAGGACTTCTGCCTTCAGCTTAAAGGAAAAGGACGAAGGGAGCTGCTCCCTGCCTCAGGAAGGAGCAGTGATGAAGTCTCTACACTGTGGGTATCTGTTTAGAAGTACGTCCCCCTTTACTGGTGACTTTGAAGCAGAGGCAATGTTTAGCGCAGCCTTCCCTGGGACAGCCACAGCTTTGGTTTCTGTGCCCTTGTTCAGGAGGCGCACTGCCCGAACCCACCGTGCCCACCCCTTGTCCTCTCCCAGCTCTCGGCCCGTGAGACAGCCTCGATGGACCTACAGACCTGCAGGCTGGACAGCATCTTCCTACCAAGGGCTCATGCTCTCTGCTTTGCTTTTAAGAGTTTTAAATCTCTGTTATTTATACATTTCTGAATAATAAAAGATGAATTAGAAGGGTAACATCAAATTTCCAACTCTCAGGGAAGGGAAAGGAGCAGCGTGTGAGAATTATTCCAAGATCACGCAATACTTGCTTTTCATCAGCATTCTCCAAAACAAAGAAAAGAGGAAGCCTCAGTATTTATGGGCAAGTTTGCTGCTTCTTTACTCCCATTTTTATCACGAATTATGGTATTAATGAGAGGTCAGTTGTAGGGGTTTCAGATAGAGACAGATCTCGTATCTCACAGTCCCGTTAACAGTCAGCAGCTGCTGCCAAGGGACCAACGGGTGAGGGGCAGGACCGACACACATTAGGACACATCAGAAAGAGACTGAGTGTCCTCAGCAGCCCGGCACAGGGACAGCAGCATCTCCTGTTGTGCCCTAAGGCCAACATACCGCTGCGGACACAGGAAGCTCATGCGAGAGCTGCAAATTCCTCCAGCCAGAGGCTCCTCCTAACTCCCACCCCACCCTTTCCATCACGTTTCCCTTGACTCAGCAGCTCCAACCAGAGCACAGCCCTCCCCATGGACAGGCTGGGCACAGATCAGACCAAAGGCTCAGAAGGAACGCAGGGAACCCGCCTCAGAGGGTCTGGAGACGCGTGGAGCCCGGGTCTGCAGAGATGACGTGCAAACAGCCCCCTCTTCAAGCAGTTCCGGTCACTGTATTTCAACTGCTGTGCAAAATTCCTGCAGGAGCCCTTCATCTTAATTTACCTCTTATTCCACCTAAGAGTGAAACTTGTAAGAGAGAGAAAATGCCGTTTGTTCCTTTCCAAACACGAGCATCTGCCACCCGCACACGCAGGGAGGTGCCAAGATCTGCATGGGGGCACCAGCACTGTGCCACACCCCAGCTCCAAAAGGGCCCAGCAAAGCACATTTGTGAAAAGAAACAAAACCACCTTATTATCTTCACGGACGTCCATCCCCTTAAATCAACTGTACTCGCTCCGCAGAACCAGCACAAGATCGAAGGCACCACAGCCCTGCCGTCTTTAAGCGCCAGAGAACAGAGCCCCTCACAGCTAACCCTGGACACAGGCTCACTGATGTGTCCTTCTCCTCCACATCCCACGAGCTCTGACCGAGCCAATCCCAACGTGCTGGAAACACGATCACTGCCGAGACACCCAGGCAGCAGACAGCCTGGTCCTTCTCTTGCTTTGATTTGACAAAGCAATGCCTCTTTCTTGAAAGGTACCCTGGATGTAAACCTTAACATATAAACCTAATTAACCCAAAAGAAGAATAACATAGAATAGCAACTTCTAATTCCTGCAGCAGCTATACTTTAACCTCCTTGTGGCTAAATAAGCTAGAGTTAAGGTATGCTGATAGAAAAACAAGGTGTCTCCAAATTCTGTAATTGCCGTCCTCGTATAATTTGAAGCTGAATCCATTCCAACAAGACTCGTGTCACTGAAACACGCACTCCTTTCTCTAGTCCCCTACACTTGTCCCAAGGTGCCTTTATGAACCTTACTCGAGTTTTTCAGTGATGAAAACAGAACGCGTTTTACAAGGCATCCTTGAGCTCCGTGACACCAAACCAGTGACGGCTGGGTGCAAGCAGGGATCTCCACGAAGTCCTGCCAGAAAGACGTGGTATTTGCCTTCTCGTTCAGGCAGAACAGCCACTACCAAATCAACACCTGCACTCCTCTGCCACTCCACATGGCATGCTTTATCTTAAACGCATGTATCGGGTTATTGCAGTTGAGGAGTTTTGTTAAAACCAATCAGAAAAGATGACATCCTGTTTTCCGAAACCTCAGATATGCTTTCCAACCTTGGCGCAATACCACGATGCTCTCCTTTCAGACCTGAAGACTGCAACCTTAGATAAAAACCTGTGGGATGCTCGTAGCCATTATCAGGCTACTTCATGAGTCTGTCAAGCTGCCATCATCTGCTGAAGTTTTCTCATTTCTTCCATCACTTACCTTTTAGCGTATAAATGCTTAGCTTTTTTGTATTCTACTCTTAGAAGCCATCTTGCATGATCAGCTTTCTTAATACAGAAGGAAGACAATTCTTTCTGAGACTGGTTCCTTAATTTGACATACAGGCCATCTCCAAGAAACCTTCTGCTCTCATCTTGGTAATGTATGCCGTTCAGCAAGCCGTGCTGTGCCACCTAGCCATTTGCACCCCTCCGTCAGTCAACGCGCCTGTTCTTCCACAGAGCTGCGTGGAAGTCCAGCCTCCCGTGCCTTCTGCCCGCCGGGAAGCCTCGCTCCCCGCCACCCCCAGAGCACCACACATCTTGGGAAAAGCGTTTGCTGGACTCTGAATTCCTGGGGATCTGAAAGTTGATGCAATACCATGAGCCTTCTTGCCACAAAGGCCTGACATTCAGATGTGCATGCCTGAACAAGTCTGGGGAACAACTCCTCCCCTCATCCCTTCTCTGCTCTGCGCCATTCTCCTGCCATCTGAGAGCAAGTCTGAAAAAAGTAATTCCTTCCTCAGAGAAAGGTCAGCACCTAGAAACAGTCTTTTTTGTGATACAGACTCAATTTTAAGCCTGTGCTGTGTGACAGCATCTGAAGCCAACTTCCTCTGCAATCCCCCCCTTCCCCAGCAAGTCTCTTGTTAAGTCGTTCCTTATCCCCATCTTCAACTACTCCCAAAAAGAAAGATTGGGAAGGCTTTGTTTTGTGTGGGTTTTTTTAAGGAAAAAAAAATCAAATAAAAAAAGAGGAAGGCTTGCACAACAGGGAACAGCAACACGCATGCAACAGCAACAGTTTTGTTCAGTACCCAAAGACGAACTTTAAAGTAAGGTATCGCTCTCTTCATGTTACCGTACTGAACCAGGGAGAAGAATTACACTCAGCCCACGCCAAACAGCATTACAACTGGTGACAACCGTGCAAGATGCTTTTTGAGAGATGCAGTGGGAAAAAAGGCATCAGCCTTTGCATACACACTCTCCACTGCCTGAGAAAAGAGAGCCATCAGGAGGCAGGCAAAGCAAAATCACACATATCCAAACGCGCTCCCAGTCCTCACCTTGTTGGCTCTAATCTGCTTGTAAATGTCCGTTTGCTGCCGGATTCGGTATTCCAGGTCCGAGACGTGGGCTTGAAGCCAATTCCAGCGACTGACAATGGCTGCACGGTCTGCTGCCCATCTCCACTCTGCCCTTCGCCTCCTGGAAAAACAGAGAGGGGAAGGGGGCATTATTTTGGATGTGATTTTAATTATACAGTCCACAAAACCCCCTAGCAGAACTGACATACAGATCAAAGCTACATACTGAATGGCATGACTGATACCATCTAGCCACTGCTAATAATTGCCAGCTGAACTACAGACGTGCTAGAAAAGCCATGCTTCCACAGAGCAGTATTAAAACAACTTTTGGTACCCAGCGATTGAAGTCCTGCCTATGCAAGCGTTAAAATTTTGGTCCACACTTAGCTGAACCAGCAGCTCCAGTCCTACTTGGCCATGTCTGCCAGACCCACTTTTCCAAGTCCTGGAGAAAACAGAACGCATCTGCCCTCCCTTCCTTGACATAGTCTCTTTAAAAAAAGACCTCTACCATCAGTCACAGAATACACCTGAACACCAGCGCGTACCACATGGCCACAATTAAAACTCGGAGGCAAGTTTCACAACCCACCATTATTTGGTTTGAAGAGCGACCACTGCTTGGAGACGAGCAACAGAACCAACAGCGTCTTGCACAAGCTGCTCCCCTGCAATGGGGGGTTGCAAAGGAAAGCGGGCAGCAGTAAACTTGATTCCTGCATCTGATGGCTTGTCTGAGCAAACAAAGAAGCCAAGAAAAAGCATCAGAAAACTACCAAGTGAACAAGTCCTCTTGAGCTCCGGAGCTCAGAGGCGCAGCGTGAGAGAAGGCGAGCGCATGTGGGCGCATGGGGGGGAACCCACACATTCTGCAACTCTTGGCTGATTCCCTGCCTTCTTTACCTCTGCTGCAAACACAAGTACAGTTCTGCAGGAGCATGAGTATGCTCTCACTGGTGCTTAGATGGCACCACTGCGTTTTACAGTCAACCGTTACAAACACACCCTTGCTCTCTGCTACCACACCTCAGGGCAGACAGGAACGCAAAGAGGGTAAGGTAGCAATCAACCACGGCTCCACTCTCCCACGTTAAAAGCCATACTATTAGGAAAATATACCCAAAGCACCCCGATTCTGCTGGGTAAATATTAAGGCTGCCCAGAAAGGAAAAAAACCCACAACGTGGTGCAGAAACAAGGCATCAGCAGAAAGTGCACGCACAAATCCAGTGCCACTGCACAAAGCCACATCTGGATGTTTGGCAATTAAGAAATTAATCATGAAACAATCTCCCGCTCCTTCTGCAGCATTTTTTAACCCAGCAAGAGCACACAGGGCAGGGGAGCCACAACAATGTCCAGGTTTTTCTTCCAAAATCTAACCAAGAAGTCTTCTGCCGAGATTAACCCATTTAAAAGCCGAAGGCAGCCGTTACAGCAAAAGCAGCACATGGCAAATGAGGTTTGCTACTGAAGCACCCCCGGCTACAGAGATGGTAAGCAACAGCAGTAATAAAGTTCTTAGAAAAATCCACACCTCCTGTGCATCTGCCCTTGTCCAGGCATACTGCTACCAAATGCACATGCCTTAAAAAAAAAAAAAAAAAAAGCACCACAGTTATTGGAAATTTCAATCAACTAACAGAAATACCTTGAAAAGGAGGACTCGGTTCCTCCAAACTGAAGCGAAACCCACCGATTTAGAACAAGACATGTTCTCCATATTCTTGCTGGACCTCCCAGCTGCGTGGGCGACGTTGCTTCAGTGCCAATTCGGATGAGGCCAGATTTCCACCAGAACGGGCGATTGTATCCACTGCCTACAGTCCTCCCAGCCCTCTCCCAGGACCATTTTCAAAGCGCTTTTAGGAGCTTAAGTCCTTCTCTCTGGAGTATTTCCCTGTGCCTGCTCTATTTTGATCAACGCTGACCTTACGTTTGGTGGAAATTTTAACATTTATTGCAGATGGATGCCACCGCAATGCCAGATCTTAATCCTCCATCAGTTACACCACGGACGCAGTCAGCAGAGTCTGGGACAGAAGGCAGCCAAGGCAGCTGAGCACCAGGGCTGGGCAAAGGTCTGACATACCCTACCAGCAGGGCAGGGTGACCACAGGGTTCACCTGGTTTACAAGGGGCTGAGCAGTCGCCAACACCACCCCAGCGTCACCCACAGCTCTAATCCAGACCTTCGGCCCAGTCATGCTTTACTCTGTTCCAAGGAGGAGAATGCCTTGCAAGCTTTACGGTCCCTCCTCCCCCCCAAGGAATCTCCAGTCTGAGCCTAAATGGCACCAAATCCCCTCCACGACACCGGAGGGTAGAGCGCGATGTTCGGGAAGCAGATCTCCCCTACCTCGCAGAGACGTCTCTCTAAGCATCGCTCGGAAAGCGGTGCTGTTCTGACTCAGTCACCCACAGGACTGACAGCATTCTCACGTCATGGTCTTCCCCAAGACTCTCCAGAACACGTTACTTCTCTACCGGCCAAGTTTCAGTGAAATTCTGCCATACTCTCATTGCAGAAGCGAAGAACAATTCTACTGGAGAAGAGTTAATCTTATTTTATAGCTTAAAACCAGGAAAGACCTCTGCCATGGCTGTGTCTGCTTGTATGGCACCTCTAGCATCTGTGGATGCAAAGCCTCTCCAGACCCCTAGAATGCTTAGGGCTCTAAGCCAGATCTCAGCAGGCTTCAGTTTGCTCTCTGGGGATCCACGTACCATTAGGAATTGTCTATAGAAATCTCAAAAGCTGCTGAGACACCTCCAGCGTGCCAGCTCCCTTGCTTGCCTCTGCAACACCTATGCCTGCTGGAGCAATACCGGCCTGCTCTGTTAAATACATCTCATTCGTTTGCTCAGATTACACAGAAACTGAGATTAAGTACATGAAACACCTTACGCCCATCTAGATTCCCGAGTGACATGGCAGCGTAAGCAACAGCAGACCTGCTCTTCACCTTAAAATTAGGACACATCCTACCCCAGAAAAACTCACTGGATTTAAACCAAAAATAAACCAAGAAAGCGAAACACGGTAACGTACACTTCATTCTCTGAAACCCTGCGGCATAGGTGGAAGGGAAGATACATAATGATGGCTCAGCCACACTTTCCAAAACAGTACCGAGCAGAGCGTGGTCCGCTATATTTAGAATTAAGCCTTTTTCAGAGCCTGTGCAATTACACCCTTTGCTGCGATGTCAGCAATACGTATGTGTTCTCCTCGTGTAGATCAGCTTTTGGATAACAAGCTATATAGCTTCTTTAGCTTTAATCTCTATACAAATATTTTGAAAGAAGTATTATTTTCTCAACTAGTGCTAGAAAGTGGCGACCACACACAAAATAGAGCATCTGAAGTCGGCAGCCAGCACCAGCAGTCACCTGAAACCTCAGCCAGGCACCCTGCTCGGGGGTGGGGGAGAAACCCACTTCCTTCCTTTCTAAACACTGGGGACTTTAACATGACAATTAATAAAAGTGTTTATTGCACTTGCCCAAAACGGGTTCTGGATTCAGCCGAGGACGACGACTGAAGAGATGGCCCGATGGCTGCAGGGAGCGGTGTCGCTGCAAGCAGGCTGCACGGCTCATCTCGAGAGCAGCCGGGTGCTCCGAGAGGCAAGGCTGGCGTGGGGAGTAACGTGAGCAGCAGCAACGCGGTGAAATCCCGCGTCCTCCAAGGGAAGCTGTTTCATCACGCTGCTGCACGGGTGTGCTCCGTGCGACTGCAAGCGCTGGCACAAGACAGCTACAGAGGATGGCGCGGGACAGCCCCTCCAGCTGGGGCACAGGAGGGTTAAGCCCATGAAACAGCACAGCAAATGAATTATTTAGGAGCCTGATCCTTTCAAAAAGCAATTTCCCTGGCAGCCACATTCCCCTCTGCAGGCACCGGTGTGCACAGAAGCAGCCTCAGCAGACGATGCGACGGGAGCGACAGCCGCCCCTCGCCTGCGCGCCCCACTCAGCTTGACCGACAAGGACAGCGTCCTGCAAACTTAAGCAGATGGTGCTTATTGCAAATAGCGCGCGCGTGCAGAATTCGCAGCCGTCGGTCTCCTGACACAGAGGGAACCTGCACATGCCCAGAATGTGCTCACGGGGGCCAGGAGGCTGGGACGGAGGAGGAAGCAGAACAAGAGGGTGCCAAACCAAGCTCAGCCTGCGGCGTTATGAACACCGTGGGAGGCTGCAGGGCTCCACAGGAAGGGGGTGAGGGACGAGCAGGATCCCTCTCCCCATCCATGGCAGAAGACCTCAAATCCTGCCCTTTGTGGCTGTAGCCTCAAACGGGTGCCAGCAGCTCCTGCCCTACGGTGCCGGCTCCCAGACACGCTGTGCCGTGCCCGCCTCTCCAGCAGAAACGCGCAGCCTTTAGGAAACTACAGGAAGGAACTTTATCAACACAACAAATTCTCAGGGGTAAACACTTCCTAAAAACCAGCAGTTCGTTTAGTAAGACTGCAGAAGGGCAGGGGGTGGAAAAGTGACTCCCGTGTTACCTCAGCCCAAGTCCTTGGGACTGGCTCCAGTCCTTCCCTAAGTAAAAAACAGGCAACTGTGGGCTAAGATCAGCTGTCCTAAAGCCAACCCCAGAAAACAAAACCCAGCAGCCCGGTGCTCCTGCCAGGCAGCAGCGTCCCTGCTTCAGCAGCGCAGGAGCCAACGGGACAGAAAGGTGACTCTGCCCTGGCCCAGCGAGCCGCCGAGGGGCAGGGCAGCCAGCCCCGCGCACCACGCAGCTTCGCTTCCGCTGTTTCGGAAAGGGGCGCAGGTTCACATTTTATATGGCTTATTTAAAAAAAAAAAAATAAATACAGCCCTGCCAACGAACATGGCAACACCTCGGCCGAGGCGTTTCCATTGGTACAACCCGTGCCAGACCCAGTTCAGTTGTCTCGGCAGCCGTGGTGCTGTAAAAGCTGCACGAGCTCCGTATTGGTAAGCCTTCCCTAACACGACCTCCACCTACGATAGAGGCTTAGACCAAGCCTATGTATAAAAATCAAGTCAAAGCTGTCCACAAAGCACTTCTGGGTGAAGATGCACAGAGATCTTTCCACTTCCAAGGAATGGTACACCCGTGTCCTCCTCCCACGAGCAGAC